TGATGGAGGTCTGAACGCCGCCATGATGGAGGTCTGAACGCCGCCATGATGGAGGTCTAACGGAGCCACAGACACCAGCAGGAAAGCAGAAAGGTCTCAGTAAACTAGCCAAGTACGACAGAAATTCACAGTTTAAATGACTGAATGGGACACGATAACATCATAACATCTAAAATCATAACATCTAAAATCATAACATCTAAAATCATACATTCGACATTACATCTGACATCATGACATCATAACATGTGACACCATAACATCTGGCATCATATCATGTGACATCATGACACATAACATCTGACATCATAACATCTGACATCATAACATTTAACATCTGACATCATAACGTCTAAAATCATAACATCTGACATCATGACATCATAACATGTGACACCATAACATGTGACATCATAACTTTAAACATCTGACATCATAACATCTGACCTCACATCTGACATCATAACTTCTAAAATCATAACATTAAACATCTGACATCATAACATTCGACATCATGATATGATAATGTTACATCATCACATATGACATTATAACATCATAACATGTGACATTATAACATCATAACATGTGACATCATAACATGTGACATCATAACATCATAACGTGACATCATAACATGACTTCATAACATTTGACATCATGACATCATGACGTGACATCATAACACTGACATCATGACATCATAATGTGACATCATAACATCTAACATTATAACATACACTCTATCTTATCTATTCATCTCACCACATGCTTTCTAATATAAGGGATCTTTTTAACTTCCTGTATTTACTCTCCTTATATTTTCCCTCCAGATTTCCTTTCTCTGTCTATTCCTGACATATTATTTATTTGTTTTTTGTTTTTTCTCTCTCACATTTTTCTTTTATGCCTTTAGGTATCTTTAATTCAGCTTTTCAGTTTCTTTATTTTACTTTTGCTCATGAGTGGCAGCCATAATGCAAATTAGGGAGCCGTCCTTCAAAAAGGTCAGCTTCTCCCCAATTGGTCAATCAACAGGAAGTGGATGGCTCTGCCCTTTTGACTGACCAATAGGAGAGAAGCTGACTTTCTTGCA